TTGTTAAAAGTGGCGTAAAACAATACTGGACGTAAAACCGTGCTGGACATTAAGGGATCAAAACAGGACAAGTCAACCAGGGGTTGCACGGGTTAACCTTGACCTTCAAAACAAGGGAGGCAATACCAGATAATTCATTTAGACAGACAGACAGACAGAATTTATTCAATTTTTAAGGCCTCAGGCCCATACAACGTACATAAGAGTTTGGGTAAAGATTTATGCATGCATAATAACAGTTACATTGAAAAATATTAATAATGCGGTGTTAATTGTGTAGCTTTAAGACATTACTGAGATATTTTCCGATTTGTTTAATAGTCTTTATGTTTTCGGTAGACATCAGGTTTATGATAGTGGTTGAGTGTCGGTGGATAGCTGTTATGAGGGAAGCAGAGTTGTCGTTCTTGGCTGTACTTGTCACTTTCATTTATAAAGGTGAGGTGAGGTGAAATTGGGTTTATCGTCGTGCTTGAGAATATTTCACGCATATGACGACGTGCATGCGTGTGTATGTGTATGTGCCGCTGCTTGTACTAGCCCAGACTTAAGCTGGTTTTATAGTGCTAGCCCACTGAGATACCATGCCGCAGTGAAGCATGAATACCCCACTCAGACACATTATACTGACTCCGAGCCGACCAGTCCTTGTACCCATTAATGCCGAGCGCCAGGCAGGTCTGAAGGTACTGTAAAGTAATGGAATGGTGTAGTTCACTTTAACATTTGATTATCACTTTAATGACAGAACCTTAATATTTCTTGTCAAGAATTGGGTACAAAATTTTTCTTGTGGGCACCTTGGAATGCATTCTATTTTCATGTCTGCATCCGTTCTATACTTTTGTGCTTACTGGACATACAGGTCAGTGTTATGTAAAATAGGAATGGCTAAAATGATTGATAATCAGAAATATCATCGATAGGAAAATTATATATTATTATCGATAGGAAAATTGTGTTAGCAATAATTTCATACATTAACCTTTGTGACAGAAATTAGGTTTAATTTTCTCAAACAATATACACATTTAGGACTATCCATGGTCTGCTTCTAAACTGTGTTCAGGATGCTGTTTTGTTAGAAGTCCAGACAATAATGTGTCACCACAAACCAGTGATGTGAAATATATTCATATTTTTTAGATATTTTTGGCATATTTACAATGCTCACAGTTAGGTTTTTTATATTTATTGATAATCGATTAATATTTAGTTACAATTATTGATCCCTATGATCTCTAACGATAGCCAGCCCAAGTATAAAACCAGAGGTACAGATAAGCTGCGTATCTGTGTAAGTTACACAAATAATTATGTGAAAACTCAATTCTTATTAAGTCAGTTGCGTACAAGTACGCTTAAATGTTTGCAAATACTGAATAAATTTGATCTTACATACGTACACACAAAATGTCGAATCTTAGCTAGCGTAGCGGTGCACAGATAAAATAACAGAGGTATATTAAGAGGTTCCACTTCAACACATGAACTTGGCAACTTGCGGTCTTTCTTATCGTTTCTCATATTACAGATCCAATGTGAATAATATTTAATCTTTACAATGTTTAAAATTAATGGACAATGGCAAAATACCCAAATGAGCTTGAGTGTGGTGGGTACAATATATTTGGTTACTCAAATGAAAATTAGGATACCCAATTGAGATGAAAACAAGCGAGTACATAACTCAATGACCCAAAATGTTATCTGTAGCTCTGTAGAACCCTGTTACTGTGTCTGAGGTAGGAAGTTTGGTACATGTAGTTTTTCACTTTATTGCAGTCATTTTCAAGCAGACCTGTTTACAATGGAAGGAAAGCTCTATGTACAAGAATGGAGTACAGCAAGACTTTAATAAATCCTTCATCCTCGATAATCTCCAGGGTATACGTTACGATCACTCTCCACTATACCCTGGATGCATCCACGGCTTGGGGCGATGATTTTATTACCTCCCTTGGCTGGGTTTTTATCCAGTCAGGTGCCTATGCTGGGAAGTTGAGTGTACCAATCACTACTCACTTTCGTGTCTTAAATTATCTAACCGTTTAAACTTGGCAACACAATTAATGCAAAGGTACTCTGAAAGAAGTAGAAGGAGTTCTTTCATATATTCTTTTTAAAGTTTTAGATCTCTGAATTTGTCTTTATTATTTCCCCCAAAATTTGAGTGGCACTGCAAACAAACCTTCACGACTGCGCCTGCTATCTTTGTTGACACTGGCAAGCTCAGTTGTAATGGCGGCTTAGCTGATTGGGTACTGTGAGAATGCGGAGCCAGCCAAGGGAGGTAATAAAGTCATCGCCCCCCCCAAGCCGTGGATGCATCCAGGGTATAGTGGAGAGCGATCGTAACGTATACCCTGGAGATTATCGAGGATGTAAATCCTTGGGAATTTTAATATTTATATTGGTCCGTGTGTCATTTAAAACTGATGTAATCATGATAAGGTAACAGGAGTCAGCTGACTGTAGGATCATTGGTTGCCCAGTCTGAGTACCTTCAATACACAGTACCTTCCCTTTGCTGTCCCAGGATTCTATGATAAATCCCTATTTAAAACCCACTTGCATCTTCAACTGATGGATGTCCCACTCATGTCTATGATTTTGTTGTATGCATTGCGATAAAGAAATATACCGTATACTGGGAAATTTTCAAGGTACTAAAATTTCGAGGTTTGAGACCCCCAGAGCTTTCGAGGTGATTTAAATTTCGAGGTTTGGGGGCCTAAAATATATAAATATTTTAGACAATTTTAATTTCGAGCTTAGAAGACAGTGGCCAGAAACATGACTTACCGGATTAATACTCACTGAGCTATCGGCAAAACTCCTAGTAGCCAGTGATAACTGCCGTCTGACTGTTATAACTACCGATATACCAGTCCATGGCAGAAATAATAGTAATGAAAACAACCCTTTGATGCTTTGTTGTGATAAGTGACCCATGAAACACTCTGTCGGCAGTGTTCAAACATGACGCCATTTTTTCTCAGACGATATTGTTTTTTTAACAACTAACTATAAGCATGTATGATGGGTCTCTGCTGAAACTATGTTGTTGTTAGAAAGCTGACAAGTTGACCTCTTTAGTGAAACTGACCAACTGCACGGATGCCTTACAGCCCCAGGATGTTTGTGTAAACAATCCCCTTAAAGACCCGCATTCATCAAACCTGGCATTGCCGATGCAGTCCATTTGGCCAGAGAGTGACACCGAGTGTATTGACAGTTGGTTTGACTTAACATGGAAGACATTGATTGAATTACCTATTTCATGTAATGCATGTTATTCTGGACCAACAATTACAACACAATTAAATAGTCTCGACACCCGCATTTCTGTTGTTTGTTTATTCAGGCCGTTCAGGGTCACTGAACGTTAAGATTAGTTGTAGACAGGCATTAAAGAGTTAATGCGCATGTCAGGAAGTCATTGGTTGCCAGCAGTTGAAATGCTTATCAATAGGAAATCTAACCCAAAGGTTTGAAGTTCGGAAAAATTCATGGATATAATATTTTCGAGGTTGCGTTTCTAACCTCGAAAACCTCAAAAATTAGATACCTCGAAAATTTCCCGGTATACGGTATTACAAGTGATCAGGGCCAAAAAGTCAGTTTGTTTTATTCATCAGTTATTGAGTGAGTGAGTGAGTGAGTATAATTTAGCAATATACCCGCAAAAGCAGAGCGGGGGACACCAGAAATGGCCTTCACATAGTGTATCCATGTGGGTAATCGAATCCAGGTCTTTGGTATCAGCGCACACTCTTTAACCACTCACCTACCCCACCACCGCTCAGTATGTTAGAAGCACCGCCTCCGTGGTGTAGTGGTTAGAGCGTCCACCCGGAGAGCGGAAGGTCGCGGGTTCGATCCCCGACCGCCTCATACCAAAAGACGTTAGAATATGGTACTTGTTGGTCCCTGCCTGGCGCTCGGCATTAATGGGTACATCAAGGACTGGTTGGCTCGGAGTCAGTATAATGTGTCTGAGTGGGGTATTCATGCTTCACTGCGGCATGGTATCTCAGTGGGCTAGCACTATAAAACCAGCTTAAGTCTGGGCTAGTACAAGCAGCCGCACATACACATACACGCATGCACGTCGTTATATGAGCGAAATATTCTCAAGCACGACGTTAAACCCAATTTCACCTCACCTCAGTTTGTTAGAAGCATGTTTGTTGTAAACATACTTAGCTTACTGTACCACTTTACTGTTGTGTTCCTTATGATGAAGAAGTTGAAATCCATTAATTCTCTTCTTTGAAGATTTTGACCCGTGGAGATCCGGGTTAGAATTGAATTAAAGGGATCGGGTGGTCAGGTTCGCTGACTTGGTTGACACCCGTCATCGGTTCCCAATTGCGCAGATCAATGCTCATGCTGTTGTTCAGTGGATTGTCAGGTCCAGACTAGTTATTTACTGACCGTCGCCATATTGCAGGAATGTTGCTCAGAGCTCCAGATAAGATTTAGCTCATGTGGGTACTGTACCCACTGTAATTTTTTGTGGAGTTGGTATTATGAATGTTGAGTGGGTATTTCATTTTCTGTTAGCCACTGCTTTCAAATATGTGGGTATTTCAGTCATTTTACTCACCTAAGTATTATGTCATTGAGTAAGTTTACTAAGCAGGTATGTCCTGCCTTATATCATACCTAATCAAAACCAACTTAAATATAATGGAAATGATTTCATAAAAAAATCACTTATCTGATACTGACAGTACAACACTAGTCCTATAATAATAGTACAACTTGATACGCAAGGGGGGGGGGGGGGTAAATCTAAACTCACTCACTTACTCTTTGAACATTTAGGGTAATGATTTAATATTTTAACAATAAATCTCAATTCCCTTAGTTTGGAGCACTGCATTGCCATTATTGGCCAGCAGTCTAGACTGCAACAATAGTGAAGGCCTTGAAACACACTATGCTAGCACTACAGGCTGTAAGTAATGATGCTGGCAGTGGGAAGCGAGGTAGTAGGTTGTACCAGCCGTATCAGTTACATCTGGGGGGGAACAGGCTGCCAGTACACACAGATGTCAAGAACAATCACACCTACAGAGGCAGCCATGATTCTAGGCCACCAGTCTCTACATGACTCCCTGGCAGAGTCGGTATCGTTGACTCACCTTGCCATTATTTCTTGGAGGAACTTTATACCTAGTGCTCATGGATCTTCCATACAGGTTTGTTGGGTATTACTAATATTGGTTATTTTGTTAGTTCTGTGTTAGTGAACTTGTTAACAATAGTTAACATGTGAGCAGAGCTGGCGCGCTGTGGTCTCTACCAGTGCTGGTAACTTTGCCTCATTTTGCGACTATTTATTGGAGGAACTTTATACGTAGTGTTCGTGGATCTTCCATACAGGTTTGTTGGGTATTATGGTATTGGTTTTTTTGTTAGTTCTGTGTTAGCGAACTCGTAAACGGTAGTGAAGATGTGAGCAGGACTCAGGTGCCGTTGACTCTACCAGTGCTGGTAATTTTGCATAAATATCTGTGGGACTATGTCTTGGAGGAACTTTATACCTAGTGTTCATGGATCTTCCATACAGTTTTGTTGGGTATTAATAATATTGGTTATTTTGTTAGTTCTGTGTTAGCGAACTCATTAGTTATGATGTGAGCAGGACTGGGACCATGGTCTCTACCAGTGCCAGTAACTTTGAACACTAAGGGACTATGTCTTGGAGGAACTTTATATATCTAATACTCATGGATCTTCCATACAGGTTTGTTACTAAGGGTATTACCAATATTGGTTATTTTGATAGTTCTGTGTTGGTGAAATCATTAGTTCAGATGTGAGGATTGGTGCCATTGTCTCTCAGCAGTGCCGGTAACTTTAACTCACCTCGCCATTATTTCTTGGAGGAACTTTATGCCTAGTGCTCATGGATCTTCCATACAGTTTTGTAGGCTATTACCGATATTGGTTTTTTGTTAGTTCTGTATTAGTGAAGAAGTTAGTTGAAGATGAGAGCAGGACTGGCGACTGGTCTCTGCCAGTGCCGGTAAGTTTGACTTTCTTTGGGACTATTTCTTGGAGGATTTTATACCCAACATTTATGGATCTTCTGTACAAGTTTGTTTGGTAATACCATATTCTGGTCTTCCATGTCCCCCTGTATTACTCATTCATTAGTTTGGTAAGAAGTTAGTACCAAGGACTCTGGTCTCTGCCAGTGCCAAGTTTATTGTGGGACTATGTGCTGGAGGATTTTATACCCAACATTTATGGATCTTATTTACAAGTTTGTTTGGTAATAACCATATCGGCTATTTGTTAGTTCTATGTAGAATGAGGAAGTTAGTTAAGCTGTTAACAAGATTGGTTGTACTGTGAGTCTCTATCAGTGTCCATAACTTTGACTTACTTTGGGACTATTTCTTACAGACATTCTAGTTCCATGTGGCCTTTGATACAGACTTGTGGGGTATAACCTGCCCTGACAATTTTCTTCTGTGTTCATTGAACTGGCAATTAAAATTTGAACAGTACTGATACCTTAGACAATGGTTTCTGGCAGTGCACACAATGCTGACTCATTACAGAAGTATTCCTTAGAGGAATAGCAAATAAATGTGGATCTTCGATGCAGGTCTGTTGCACTGGAAAAGAAGTCCACATTTACAAACTTGGAAATGTCTTGGATTTTGGAGTATTTATCCTCTTCTTGGAGATTTATCCTCTTGGAGATTTGATGTATGGAACTGAGTTAACTCGTGTGTGTGGTTTGTGGGACTGATGGAAAACTTGTAGACTAATGCTTAGTCTCTAAATATATATAATTTTGACGGAAACAAATAATTTATTTTAAACTGAAGAGGAGACCCATTTGAATAGGAGATTCAGAACCTAAGGAATCTAGACTTGCTTCATTTAGGGCTTTAGCACTCTAGCCAGGACTGGACCCGTGAAGATCCGGGTTAGAATTGATCTTCAGCAACCCATGCTTGTCACAAGAGGCGACTAACAGGGTCGGGTGATCAGGCTGCTGACTTGGTTGACACGTCATCGTTTCCAATTGTGTAGATCGATGCTCGTGCTGTTGATCACTGAATTTTCTAGTCCAGTCTCAATTATTCACAGACCGCTGCCAATTGTAGCTGGAATATTGCTTAGTGTGGCGTTAAATAAAAAAAAAAAAAAAACAAGCTAGAAAGGGCTGGATGGAAGAGAAAATAATGAGGTTCAGGGAAAGTGAGACACACTAAGGAACTTGGTGTTAGTGATAAACGGCAGTTGTTGGTAGAATTTGGGTTGTTATAATTGTGGCGATATGTGGAAATATGTTGGTATTGATTATTTGTGTGCATCAAGTGATTGCTGGTTGACATGAAATGTCCTGTCATTTAGACGTGTAAATGTAAACAGTTCTCGTAATGGATCAATGTTTGGACTGTTGTTTGAAGGGTTCGGACTACTTTTAAACTTTTGTGATGTCGACTCTAGTCTGAATTGTTCTGCTAGTCTGATGTAATTGTCATGGGAGTGGATTGTCATAGCAACTGATTTGGAACACGGAGTCGATGGCTTGCAGTAATTTCAAGTTTGCTTTATACAGCTTATAACCAATATATTTTGTTAGTTCTGTGTTAGTGAACTCGTTAGTTGTGATGTGAGCTGTGGTTTCTTCAAACTAGGGTACATTGTGACTATTGAGGGTCCCCGCAACTATTTGCTGAATATTGCTATAGTCGTATAATGTAACTCACAACTCACTTTGTATTAGTGAACTGTTATTGTGATGTGAGGGGGTGACTATTGAGGGGAAACAACTATTGCAATAGGGTTTTTATTCTTAAGTTATTTCCCAAATGAATGTATAGTTTATATAAAATAAGAACAAGCTGAAGTAGTTTCAGTCTCTTTTAATAACTGATAACAAACATGAAACCCAGATCAAGTAAACAGTTAAAACATAAACTTATTGTTATTCAAAATTCAAACTCTGACTCGAATGCCGTGTTTGCCACCATGTTTGGTTAAGAGGTAACAGGGCGGATAAGTCTAAATCAAAGTGAATGAGTCCGGTACTTCCTGTATTTTGCGCTGGGAATTTATCAACAGAGGCCAATTACTAAACTATTGATAGTCACACATACTGATAATCGATGCATCGATAGTTTTTCTCTTCTACCATTGATTAATTGCTATCAGAGACTCAACAGCAATCCATCAATAGTTCAACGCTTTGTTACAGCACTAGTTTCTACCAGTTTGAAATGAGTGTCAACAACCCATGCTTGTTGTAAGAGGCGATTAATGGGATCGGGTGGTCAGGCTCACTGACTTGATTGACACATGTCATCGTATCCCAATTGTGTAGATTGATGTTCATGCTGTTGATCACTGGATTGTCTGGTCCAGACTCAATTATTTATAGACTGCCTCCATATAGCTGGGATAAACCAAACCAAAATGGTGTTAAACAACAAACACCAAACCAGGGTAAAGGGTCATTGCACAGCCTAGCTGTTCGATTCCCCACATGGGTACAATGTCGGTCAGGGTCCCCTGCCTAGAGGCTGTAAAGTGTTGGCTCAAAACCAAACTCACTCACTAACTCAGTTCGATCTCCCCAGAAATATTTGTACTGAATGATGTGAAAAGCCCAATTCTGGTGTCCCCTAGCATTTTTTCAGTTTAAAAAATGTAAATTCTTATTCATTGTCTGGCCAAAAGACTATTTCCCAAAAATATAAAATGGAAAAATTGGAGATGATGACTTTGAATAATTTAGAATTCTTGTAAGCTGTTAATTTAGTCCTGAATTGGGTAATTGCTGGAGGTAAAATAGCAGTCCACTTTCATAAATATTCTGTGTTTTTAGAAGAATGTGTATATTAAAATATATGTATAAGATTTGAAATTATACAGCTTCAGATTTGAAAATTTACAGCTTAGATTAGTTTTGTAATTATGTAAATATCTGTAAGCAAAAGCTTTGGGCAATTATAAATTCATGGATAACTGCATCATTATATATTTTTACAAACACCACTGACTTCAAAATACTGGGGGGCGGTGGGGTAGCCTAGTGGTTAAAGTGTTTGCTTGTCACGCCGAAGACCTGGGTTCGAATGGGTACAATGAGTGAAGCCAATGTCTGGTGTCCCCCGCTTTGATATTGCTGGAATATTGCTAAAAGCGGCGTAAAAAACAAACTCAGTCAGCAGTCAAAATGCAATTGTACACTATGTTCAGCAGTAAATAATGTTGTACATTGCATACAACCAGCCGTTTCAACTTAATACCTGGAGAGGTATTTACATAAGCAAGTTTTGCTTTTTTGCCAATCCAGATTTCTTGGGAATAAAAATATGTTTAAACCAAATATGTTTACAGAAATAACCATAACCCAATGAATTTTGATTTGCTTGTGTGCAAATATCCATGAAATATTTCCAAAATCCAACAAATAATACTCTGTGTAATTACGAATGCATACTTTTCTGCAGCATTTGTATACTCCCTTACATAAAGTTACAAGTCTCTATTTACAGACAGAACTCTGGTATTACATATACAATACTTAACTGCTGTGAATAATGCATATAAATGGAGCTACATCCAGCTTATTGTCAGTCAGAAATGTATATTACTATGTGTCCTTGCAACATGTTAAACACTGGGCAGTACAGAACTCATACAAAACTAGGAACCATATGAAACAGCATTTCAGGCCAAGTTATTTAAAAAATGTCTATCCGTTGTTGTAAAAATATCCAAGTGACTGGACACAAGGGATTAAAGTTGTATGACATACCCAGAGAAAACTACCAATTCCCAAAAATGTGGGTATTTTTAACTCAAAAGTACAAGGCTTAAAGGAGTATTGCATATCAGGACAAAGCTTCCTGAAAATCCCAAAAGGTGATTGATAACATGGGAATCAATATTTAGTAGCTCATAAATAGTCTTGAGCCCTGTTTTTTAATTCTGTGCTATCAGTTTTGAATTCAGCTGAGACACGCCAGATCTCAACATGACACAGTCTTTTCCCTAATTGATGACAAAAGATTGTTTAAAGGAGAAAAAAGCAACAGGCTCTTCCTGAGTTTGAAATAATTAGGTATTGTAACGTGATATATTTCCTGTGTGTGCTGCTAATGAATAGATACCCTGCCATATATCTCCCATACACGCAAACACTTGCTTCTAATTTGGCCGTGGGTTT